CTTCACTAGCCAGAAAGGTGAGACCATAGTCCAAGGTACCGGCTAAGTACCGAAGTATACGCCTGACTGCTGCCATGTGTGCCTCACAAGGAGCATGCATATATTGAGCAGCTTTGTTTACGCTAAACTCTATATCAGGTCGAGTATGGCATACGTACAGAAGTGCACCCACCAAGCTTCTGTATTCACGAGCATCACTGAGTGGCGATCCTGCATCATGAACTAGTTTTGTCGACCCAACCATAGGGGTTGCGGTAGGGGTAGCATGCAACATATCCACCCTCTCGAGTAACTCAAGAACATATTTCTTTTGTGACAACACTAGTTTGCCAGTGGTTCTCTTAACTTCTATACCTAGAAAGAAGCTCAGTTCTCCTAGGTCCTTGAGAGAAAAATCCTTCTGCAAGAGTCGAATTACTCCCTCAATATCATCCATGCTTTCACCAGTAACAATTATATCATCCACGTAAACTAAAACAAGTGTATAGCAACCACTTCCACACTTCACAAAGAGCGAAACATCAGCCAAGGATTCAACAAACCCCATCCGCTCAAGACTCGCCTTAAGCTTGTCATGCCAATTTCTAGGCGCCTGGCGAAGACCATACAAAGCCTTGTGTAGTTTACACACAAGTGGTGATCCATCTGCAGCCACTTCTTCAAATCCTGGGGGCTGTTGCATGAAAACTTCCTCAGCCAACTCTCCGTTTAAAAATGCGTTATTCACATCAACTTGACGCAAGATCCAATTCCTACTGACAGCCAAAGAAAGCACTACATTCAGTGTTGCAAACTTCACGACTGGACTGAATGTGTCCTTAAAGTCATAGCCAGGGACTTGCGAGTATCCTTTGGCAACTAAGCGCGCTTTATACCGTTGTATAGACCCATCCGGATTCTTCTTTATCTTGAAAAGCCATTTGCAACCCACAACATCACGTCCTTTGGGTACAGGTACTAAGGACCAAGTCTTATTTCCTTGTAGGACATCGAGTTCTGCCTGAATTGCTGCTCTCCAACTTGAAGACTGTAACGCAGCTCGAATACTGGTAGGGGTTGAGTCATCGAAGAAGCTAGTGTATGTTTTTGGCTTAAATATACCACACTTACTACGTGTAAGCATTGAATGTTTATTCCCGAGTACACCTTCAGCAGACTGTTCTTGAGTAGAAGCAGATGTACTGGCAGCAGCCCGACTGGAACTATTCTGCGCCTGACTGGTCATATGGATGACAGAATTTTCATTGTCACTAACCAAAGCAGGACTTGCCACTCTTGACGCAGCAGAATGCTCATTATCCGGACTTGCAACTCTCGATGCAACAGGATGCTCATCATCCGAACTTGCAGCTCTCGATGCAGCAGGATGCTCATCATCCGAACTTGCAGCTCTCGATGCAGCAGGATGCTCATCATCCGGGCTTGCAGCTCTCGATGCTCCATCATGTTCATCAACTGCGCCTGTTCCAGTTGAGAGAACCCTTTCGCTGTTTATTTCATCACGTCCTTCATCCATTAAGGTAGCGTCACCATGTGCACCGAATTTTCTTAGATCGGTAATCACTTCTAGAGGCAGTAGTGGTGGACTGATTTTGTGAGCTGAGGAACTTGTATGAGTAGAGCCTGCAAAAGGAAAATTTAGCTCATTAAAAATCACATGTCGAGACACATATATACGGCCATTGGGTGCAAGACATTGGAAACCCTTGTGGTGAGGACTATAGCCAAGAAAGACACACGGTTGCGATCGAAAGTCAAGCTTATGTTTCAAGAAAGGTCTCAAGTGTGGAAAGCACTGACAACCAAACACTTTCAGCCCCTCATATTCAGGTCTCTTGCTAAAAAATTTCTCAAATGGTGACTTCCCTTGTAACACTCTTGTTGGTAGTCTATTGATTAAGTGCACTGCAGTAACGACTGCATATGACCAGAAACGTATTGGCATAGACGCCTGAGCAAGAAGGACAAGTGCAAGCTCGATGATATGCCGATGCTTGCGTTCCACCACACCATTTTGTTCAGACGTGTGTGGACAAGTCACACGATGCAAAATACCTTCCTTAACCAACGAGGTTGACAACCTCCTGTATTCTCCTCCCCAGTCACTCTGGACTGCTTTAATAGGTAAGTTGAATTGGTTCTTGACCATTTTCTGAAACAAGCCAAACGCAACGACGGCTTCTGACTTGTCTTTCAACAGATAAAGCCACGAGTGTCTGGTACTTGCATCAATAAAGGTGACATAGTACTTAAAGCCATTTGAGGTTACTGGTGCTGGTCCCCATAAGTCTGTAAACACGAGCTGAAAAGGAGTATCATACACAGTGTTCGAATTGTGAAATGGTAGTTTATGACTCTTCCCCATTTGACAAGCAGGACACGTTTTATTCATTGACCTTGAAATGTTTACATTCATTTCTTTGCAAATTTTTAGTAAACTATCATGAGAGGGGTGGCCCAACCGTCGATGCCAAAGTTCGTAGGAGTCAAGTGAAGCAGCCATGGAACTAGCTTCTTCAGCAACTAGAGCTGTCACTTGAGGATCAGCAGCAAACGAATACAAACCACCTTCTTCTTTTCCACGAAGCAAGACAGTCCCAGACTCTTCATCACGAACACAACACTCATGTGCATGAAATTCAAAGAAGACATTGTTGTCCCTAGCAAGCTTCGAAACAGACAAGAGGTTCTTAGTTACCCTAGGAACATGCAGCAAGTCATTTAATAGTAAGGCTCTAGAAGACGAGCATAAGATAGAGTTACCAACTGCCTTGATGTCTAAGGCTACTCCATTGCCAACTACCAACTTACCTGGACTGTTGTAGTCATTTCTATGACTAAGAACTGTTCCATCTGGGGTGACATGATGGGTGGCACCTGAGTCCACCACCCATCGTTCGCGATTTGTTGTCGAGGTAAGCGCTTGAGGTCGTGTATCAATTTGAGACCCGCTGTTTCGAACACAACAACTTTCACACTCAGCAGGCTTAGTTTCATATGCAGAGTAATGTGCATCTGCAGGCTCGTCCTTTGAATACGACTTACTACCAGCTGTAATCCCAGGGAAGTCATGATCAAAACGATACCAACAGGTGTCTACAAGGTGGCCATTTTTACCACAGAGCTGGCACTGCATATAACGGCCACGACCTCTGCCTCTACCACCAGTCCTTCCATCAGAACTAGTCGGTGGTCGAGAAGGCTTACGATCGTAATAGTTGTTAGAGACGGATGACTTGTTTGAACCTGTCCCTTGAGCAATGTTAGCACTTATTGGCAACACTTCAGGTTGATCACCAAAGCCGGCTAACTGGGTTTCTGCATCCAGTAGCATCCTGTACACTATGTCAGGAGTTAAAGCTTCACGTGTGGTTGTTATGACTGCAACAAACGGCTGGTACTCTCGAGGAAGGCCTTTTAGTATGCTGGCAACATGTTCAGCTTGGGACACGACACTGCCACACGACTGCAAGGCATCACACACTTCTTTTACACGTGTGATGTATACTCTCATCGAGTCATCCCCTTTCTTGAGAGACTGCAGTTTATAGTGTAAGCCTATAACAGCAGTTGTGGATCTGTTCCCAAAGAACTGAAGCACCGTGGACCAGACTGACGACGCCGTCTCAGCACCCACAAACTGAGGCAGAAGCTGCGAGCTAATCGTGGAGAGCAACCACGACGCAAGGGCGCTGTCTTGAGCGACAAATTCTTCAAACAGCTCATTGAGCAAGACTTCTCCATCATCGCTAACTATGGTCTCTGGCGGAGACCTCATCGTTCCCATCAAGAATCGCTCAAGGCGATGGCTGCGAACTGTCAGCAAGATTTGCTGTTTCCAGAGCAAGAAGTTCGTTTCGTCAAGAATTACGTTCACTTTTTTATTGGAGAACGCTTTATTGCTTCTTGTGGTGAACTCCATGGCTGGAGAAGACGCATCGCTATTGAACATGATGAGCAGCAAACAACGCTAGTCACAGTTGAGAGAGGAGCCTTCTACACAGCGGAAACAAGAAACCTTTGCCCAGGAAATTTAGCGAATGATACCATGTTGAAATACTTACTTTAGAACTGTCAATTTTACAGAAACTTTCTTCTTATTCAAAGTGACCATGTACATTGCTTTTATATCTGCTCATGGAGCTTTTCAAGAACAATGGCTTAGCTAGCTAACAGTCTTAACTAACTAATAACACCTCTAACCACCTAACCAATTCTTAACAGCTTAACTGTTTCATTATGATGCAATGGAATTCAATGGTAAATTTGCTACTTGTATACGTGATTTGCAGGAAAACCATGCAGACGGAAGAGATTTTAACCATCAATGTGAGGCATGGATGGAAGAAAGGCACGAAAATCACATTCGCGGGGAAAGGGAATAAACAACCAAACTTTACACCGGTCGATCTCGTATTTATCATCGACGAGAAACAGCACAATGTGTTCACTCGGGATGGCAACGACTTGATCGTCACACAAAAGGTCACTCTCGTCGCCACCTTGTACGGTCTTACGGTTCATCTTACTACCCTGGATGGCAGGAATTTAACCGTTCCGATTAACAATGTAATTCATCCATACTACGAGGAAGTGGTTTCGACGGAAGGGATGTCGATCCAAAGAGACCCTTCGAAAAGAGGAAACTTGATAATCAAATTCGACATTAAGTTTCCGACACGGCTGGCGACGGAACAGAAATCCGGAATCAAGAAGCTCTTGGGCCCTTGGCACTGATTGAAAGCTCCCCACATGTATGCTTGATAGCAGTAAATATGGTGTGCAAGTAACTTGATATATCATTGCATAACAAAATGCAAAGACATAAATTTCATTAAATTTGTAATTTCAAATATCACTTAAACATGTTTAATCTCACATTTTTCAAATTATTACAACAATAATAACGATACAATTGGTATATTTTACTAATTAAAAAAATACAGAATAAAAAATAAGCCTACCTTATTTCGAAACAAGCATATAAAGAATTCAAACCAATTTGGTAAAATTCAAGTGGCATACCCGTTCCATTGCTCACGCCTCAACCGAAGACCAAGAATTTGCGTCGATCCAATTGAAGGCTAAAGGGCTGAGAAAAGCGTCGGGGATGCCAAAGGAAGTGACCAAAGCAAGCGCATGCGGTCGGAGTTCGCTGCACATTTTCGCTATCCCTCTCCGTACACCGGCACCGTTGTCGACCGATAGGTAGCCGTACCGGAGATACGAAGCATCTTCGGTGCAAGTCAAGGCATATAATGATCTCAATGAACCTAATACATCCTGCACAACGAGAGAAAAATGAAGTTGAATGATGCACAAAGTCACAAAGAGCCTGCGTATCAACCCTGAAGCATGCTTTCAGGGTTTCAATTTGCAAACAAAGCAGAGCTTTTTTTTTTGGTGTAAATCAATTCCATCAGCATATTGTAAGTTAATTTACTTAGATAGTTAATTTAAGAATTATTACAAGATAAATTATGAGTTAATGACCCTCATTCTAAATTTGTCTTTAAACTTTTAACATTCTAATTTTATCCCTAAACTATGACTCTCGTTTTGTATTAGTCCGCAACCTTTAAAAGGATATAATTTCATCCCTAAACTCATCCACATATGTAATTTGTTTTGACAACAACATACCCAAAAATTTTTTTCCCCAAACATATAATAATATTACTCGACTTAAACAAGGACATGATTACTATATTCTGATAGTTTGAGGATGAAATTAGAATGTTTAAAACTTCAAGGATCAATTTAAAATGAAGGTTATAATTTAAGGATGTATGGTACAATTAACTCATAAATTGTCGGTGATTTTGGTCATTTCAAGCTCAAACCATTGACTACCCAATTTTGCAAGGAGGTTGAGTTTTGAACAAAAGATTAAACGACACATACCTTGAGTGAACCAGCAGGTAGAGTTGCTTCAGCCTCAACAAATGTTTGAAATATTGCTCGTTCCGAGAAAGCTCTGCTCAAATCCTCTCCTAGCTGATAACACTGGTGTACAAACAATGATATGTGACAAATAGATTAAAAAATCGAAAATGAACTTGCTCGGAACATAGATAAACCAAGTGGTTCCTCACCATATTGAAAGCCTGCTCGGAACTTGCTCCTCTAGCTCTACAATTCGAGACCTCAGCAACAAAATGATCCAACAAATCTCGCTCCCTTAAACACAAGGCATCCATCTGATATAGGAAAGCTGGTCAGAGACTCCCACGAATTTGAATCATGGAATGTCCACAAATGAAGAACTGATGCTACTTATTATATTACCTGGAATTCGCTGCATCGGAGGGTCGTGCTCGTTGGCTGTGACGGAATGACAGGGCGGGGTTTATTCATGTGTCCTAATCCCAGAGCCGTGAAACCCTTGTTCCGTTTTCGAACTGCAACGTATTCGGCGAGAAGAGCCTTGCTGACCTGTGTTTAAAGTGTTCGATCCGTATGTTGTAACTAGTTGTTCTTGTCAAAGAAATTTTCCAAAGGGAAAGAGAGAAAATTGAATTTACCTGCTGCATCAAGATAGTATTGTCGCCCTCAAATGTGGATTGCACATCAAATTCAGCTTTCAGATGACCGACACGATTCTCGGTCTTTAATCCTTGTCCTCCGCAAGCTTCACGACATACCTGAAGCATTTCAAAAGTTGAACCTTTGTATCGATACTTATGGTTAAATTATTCGACTTAGTTCAGGATCGTTTGTTGGTCACCTTAAGTATTTGCATGTTATTCCAAGTAAAAGTTGCTTTGAATGAACTTGAAACTACATGAACGGTTTTGTTCGACTCTGGTGTCCTCTTCCTATACAGCATTTTAAAGTAATTTGCTGCAAAACTCATTGCATAACTGCAGCATATAAAATTAAAAGCAAATAAGTAAATGAGTATTCATCAAAACCAGTTGCTCTAGCTAAATTATTAATTGTTCCATTGCAATCGAACCATTCAATAAAACGTCTAGTTCCTCTTTATTTGCAAATAAATGAATGATTTAACAAGTGCAAATCACACACAACTCCATAAGAGCTTCAGTTGAAGCTCTATTTCAGCAGCTAAACCGTAGATATACTTACGCTTTTGCAACAAGAGGGAAGAGTCGTCGTTGATGACTTGGGTAATCTAGCAATAAGACCTCCGGTTCATTTTGTTTGAGAGAAAATGCTCTCCTTGTTAGTGCATACCTAATGGCAATTGCTAAACCAACCTAAAAGGGGCCATGGTAAACTGCATTAGTGCCTTAGTGGCATGCCACCCTACACCCCAAAATACAAAAATATGCAATGATTGTTTGCCAAATACTGAAGATACCTTTGATTGATAAACTGCATTAACCGAGACATTAAGACGACCTCCTCTTAGAGGGGCCATGGATGCAGCAAATCTCTGAATTAAAGCAACAGACAGAGCTATCAAAACATTACTACCACCATAAATGGACCCTTTTGTAGTGAAACATTAGCAACTGTATTTAACAAGACAGATACCTGATCCGGGTTCTTTATTGGACTTATATACTGTCCATCATGTGAAACATAAGCAACTGCATTTAACAAGTTTTCTCTGGGCACTCTAACATTGTCAAACCTGAAATCACAAATGTAAATCTTTCAGGTTAGAACTTCTGATGGAAACAAACATATTAAAGAATTCATAGTAAAAAGGTTTAGGTTTCGAGTGTACCAAATCCGACCATTATCAACACCATTTAAACCAATTTTGTGGCCACAGTCAGCAATACGAATGTTTGGACATATGTTACCATCAGCGTCCCTGATTTGAACTAGAAACGCATGAACCCCTTGGTTGGTTCCATTGATATGCAGCTGTGAAAACACAACTGTATGCGTCGCATGCTAGACAGCAAAGAAACAGAAGTATAGCATGTCAGCCTATGTCGTATGCAAATGAATCTAAAGTGACAATCCAGGGAGAAATGGTATTGATTCTAAGACAATCATACATACATTAGCTGCCCCACCAATCCAATACTTCTGAGCTGATTCACACGGAGTATTAATGACGAATTCGCCTGTGTTTGTATCATAAGTTGTTACTGTTTCGATACCGCGAACCTGAAAGCAGTAATGGCAGAATAAATCAGGAGCAAGAAATGTAGATGACTGCATAGAAAGTCACACAAAAGACTTAATTGATTCCCATTAGCAAAACACATACATTACTTCCATGCCCCAACTCCGTCATTGCAAAGCAACCCTTGACCGTGAAATTTTCACTAGCCCTCAGCCACTTGTCATGATGGTGTTTTGTACCGAGAAATTTGATGGCACCACCCCTGCAAACATTTAGAACAATCGTAGCACTCAGTCCCAATTTTTTTCTTTTCCACTTTGACCTTGTTCGCAAACACATCACACCAAATGCATTTATTTCTAAAAAAAATCATAAATCATTTACCAACTTTCAATTTTCAAATCACCTTCAGAAAAGGAGAGGGAAAAAGTACAGAGAAACGCACCACAAGAAGAAGTGAACTCCGACCCTAATTTTGATGGAATGATCGAAGATACTCAGAACCTCAAGGAAAGCGCATATCCTCAACACGATATCTTCTTCCTTCTCCGTTAACCATCCTTTGAACACTCCTTTATCCTGCAAATACTCGATCCGTTTCATCGTCATCTCCCGTTGCTGCTCCATCGACTGTGTATAATCCGGCGACACGAACACCTTCCCGCCCCTCACCTTCGGGTTGAACAAATCGCTCCGCATCATCAATCCGAACAGCCAATCACGTTCCTCCACATCATGTCCGTCGATTAGGTTCCGCATCTGCTTGACGTCGAACACGTAGCTTTCGGAATCTTCGGGAGTGGAGTAACTCAAACAAGCGTTTGATGAGAGGGACGAAAGCGGATCAGAGGATTGAAGGAGGAGATGATTTGTGAAGATTTTTGTTCTTTGAAAAGCTCTATCCATGGCAGAATCACAGAGGATTTTTTTCTTCTTCCTAGAATTGGCGGTGAAAATTCAAAAATTCGGTGATGAAAATGAAGTTTCTGTTTGGGGACTTCCAACGATGGGATGTATTTATAGGCTTCTTTAAATATGGCTAGTGTGTAGGCTGAATTTACGAGATAATGTTGTGAGAAAAAAAATCACGAGGTAATACGTTCTAACAATTAATTGTTGAAATAGGGTGTTTGTTACAGTTCGAATGAAGGTAATGAAGGTCGCCGGGTGGTCTGGGCGACCAATGAAATGAAGGTCGCCGGGTGGTCCTCATAACTTTGCAACAATTAATTGTTTGGGTTAAATGCAAATTTGGTCCTCATAACTTTGCACTCTCATACATGTATTTATTTTAGTCACAAACAATTATAATTTAGTCATACATGTTTCTTGTTTATCCTATTTTAGTATGTATTTATTTTAAAATTAATTATTGGGATATCTTGTTTTGTATTTAGTATGTATTTATTTTAAAATTGATTATTGGGATATCTTGTGTTGTATTCAATAATTTTTATTTGTTTTACGTTTATTTATTTCGAGTATTTTTCACTATTTTTTAGTTTTATTTAGTTTTATTTTATATTGAAAAATTTTGCGAAATAATATCGTTGGTAGGGAGAAATAAATACATACTAAAATAGGATAAACAAGAAACATGTATGACTAAATTATAATTAAACATTAATACTAAACAGTGGCTAAAATAACATGTTTACAAATTTCATGGCCAATTTCAAAAATTAAGGAAAATATATAAAACACATGAAATCAGTGATTAAAATGAAATAACTAAAAATATTATGATCAAAATGAAGCATACACAAACTTGGCAGAATAAACAACTAGTGACTAAAATATAATTATTAAAATATACATGCCTGAAACAAAACATTAAAAATGTCACTAAATGATTAAAAAAATAGATTACAAAGCATAGGGGACCGAAAATGCTATTATCCCCTAAATATTAAAACACGCGTATGAGAGTGTAAAGTTGTGAGGACCAAATTTGTATTTAACCCAAACAACTAGTGTTTAGTGTTTTGTTTGTGAAACAACCCGCATGAAGCATTGGTCGCCCAGACCACCCGACGACCTTCATTGGTCGCCCAGATCACCCGACGACCTTCATTCGAACTGTAGTAAACACCCTATCTCAACAATTAATTGTTGGAACGTATTATCTCGTGAATTTTTTTTTCTCACAACATTATCTCGTAAATTCAGCCACGTGTGTATATATATATATATGTGTAATTTTATTTTATTTTAAGAAAAAAAATATCTGGATTTTGCGTGTTCGAAACCGTATCTTTTAAAAATCGTATAATCTATATATATATATTTAAAAATCGTTATATACCTTTAATAAATTCTTCAAATATTATAATAAAAGGTTTCATGCGGTTTTTGGTGCAGATTTACGAGATGACGTTACGGGCATTTGTTGCGGTGGCGGCACAATCGTTTACGGAGGAAGCTAGGGCGGTGCTCGTAGGTATTATGTGGCTCAGACGGTGGAAGCTACTAGCTAGGGCGGACCTTTAATAAGATGCAGGTTACGCATGCTAAATTTTGTAAGAGTAATTCAGATTAGGTTTAATAAAAAAAAATAGGTGTACAAACTATATTTAAATTTTGAAATAGGTGTTTAAATTATTTTTTTACTCATTTAAGTGTCTAATAGTGTAAAAGTGTTCAGACCGTCAACGACGTTAATTTTTCAGTTAAGTGACATGTGTCACAATTTGATGATTTAAAAAAATTATTTAATATTAAAAAATTAAATTATAAGATTTGAGAATTTTAAGTATTTTTGGACTTTTTTTATAATTTAAGAGAAATTATGATTTTTTATAAATATAATAATATTAAAAAAATAAAAATCATAAATTGTGACACGTATCACTTATTTGGAAAATTAACGTCGTTGACAGCCCGATAACCTAAATGAGTAACGTTTGTAACATTAGATACCTGGATAAGTTAAAAAATAGTTTAGACAGCTATTCAAAATTTTATGTATAGCTAGACACTTATTTGGTATTAAGCCATCATATTATAATTATAATCCGAATCATATTTAAAAAAATGTAAAATTAACCTCGAACATAAACTATCAACAACCGATTGATTTAACGGGAGGAGACACTAGGTTCATTAAGCAATGTCAGTAGTTTGAATCACAAACAAACAAATAAATAAATAATACATATTACCTTTGACTTGTAATAAACGAGGTTTGCTAAGAGGACATAGATAAGAAGAGATAAATTGTGGGTTATTTGAGATCGATTTGGTAAAAACTCAATAAATACTTAATTTGAATCGACTTGACTCGAACTTGATTCGAGTTATTAATTAACCGATATTCGACTAGAAAAATTCGTGAGCAACTCGAAAAGATAATATATTAAGATTTTATTTTCTAAAAAATTAAATTATCATATATTGATTTTTTTAAAACGTAGTATAAGATTTTCATATATTTAAGATTCAGGTTCGAGTTTGAGTCTAATCTTCAATCGAATTAAGTTTAAGATTGTTTTTATTTCAAGCCTTTTCGAGTTTCAATTCATGGTTTCGAGTTCGAGTTGAGCTTAAAAATTTTAGGCTCACAAGTTTTCAAGCCGAGTCGAGCTTCATTTTAGAGTTTTCGAATCGAGTCGAACTCAACAATATTCAAACTCGATTCGGCTCGTTTACAATCCTGTTTCGCTAGTAAAAACAAAGGCTACAATATAATCATCTAATGTTTTTGTTTAGTCTGTTTTCTTTGGGCTACAAAATGATTTTATTGCATGGTCATGTATCTTTATTTACATATTGATTAAGAATTCGTTACAGTGAATTAATGTCCTTTGTAAAAGGAAGTCTATTTCTATTGACATTATATTAAATGAGTATCTTTTATATATTGTTTGGATGTAAATGAAATTGAGAAAGAAAATGCATCGACTTATCGGATCTTAAACGGAAGAGTTTGCGTCGATCAGTTGAAAGCTAGAGGGCTTAGAGAAGCGTCGGGGGATGCCGAACGAAGCGATCGCATGCGATCGGAGTTCGCGGCAGAGATTCGTTATTTCTCTCCTCAGATATGCGTCATTGTCGACCGATAGGGACCCGTGTCGGAGATACGAAACGTCTTTGATACACGCTAAGGGTGTGTTTGGTTCACGAAATGTAAGATTACCCGTGGGAATAAAAGATTACCAGGGAATAAGATTATTGGGAATGTTGTATTTTGTGTTTGGTTGGTTTAGCAGGAATGTAAGATTACCGTGTTTGGTTAAAGGAATAAAAGATTATTGGAATGTATATTTGACCAAATTGTCTTTATTATATATTTGTATAATATTACAAGTCGTAAAATATTTATATATTTTCTTTAAAAAATTAAATTCATAATATCTATATAATTTTTTTACAAAATTAAAAATATAAAAAATATTTAATGAAAGGGTAAAATTTTATTTTAACCCCTGAACTTCATATAAAATTTTAATTATAGTTTTTTTTTGTAAATCTAAAATAATTTAAGGATAAATTTGTAATTTAACCTTTGTAGAATTTTTATTATTCAATGACAGAAAAATTATACTTTTGAAAAAAAATAAAAATTTAAGGGCATTTTAATCTAAAACACCGGTAATGTTACAATACCTAAAGGAAGGGACCCGATAATATACCTCAAAAAATCCACTATTAGTAATAAAATATTACAGGGAATAACATTTCCGGCCAAAACCAAACGGGGAATGTAGATTCTATTCCCGGGAGAATTTCACATTCTCCCATCCAAACGCCCCTAAGGCGTATAATGATCTCGACGTACGTAGGGCATCTTGCAGAATAAGGTCATTTCGATTTTGTAAGGTCGAGAGTCGAGTTTCGAAATGGCTGGCCAAGTCATTCAGATTAGGAGAAACATTAAATGATGTTAACCTTCAATGAACCAGCAGGTAGAGTTGCCTCTGCCTTGTTAGATTACGGTATAGAGTGAGCTTGCCTGCACGAGGTGTTAAAAGCTCATGCACGGTGAGGATATGCGCAGTGGTGTTCATGTACGGTTAATCGTACAATTTACTATAAACGGTCGGTTAACTGTTATAAAAATTATAAGATTTTTTAACTATAACCTAACTACTAAAAAATAGTTAACTGTTATTAACAGTTCGGTTACAGATTAACCCATTAAAATTAATTTTCAAAAATTTTCATAATTCATACTACAAAAAAGTATAACATTTAACTCATTTTTACAACGGTGTAATTGACTAAAATAAAAAAGTGTAATACTTAACATATATGTATACCGGTATAAGTATGTACATTTCTCAATATCTTAATACCTAACAATAAACACATAATTATATTAGTATAGATATGTTTTTGTATTTTTAAAGAAATCAAAAATTAAAAACAATAAAAAATATATATTAAGTTATTTGTGTATAAATTTTATTATTATTATATATATATAAATTAGAAATTATAGAAAATTATATTAAGTTATTTGTGTAAAATTAAAAATATAATTATAAATTTAATTTATTAACGATTAATCTTTGGTTAACCGTTTATCAAAATTTGTAACCGTAACCTTAACCGTTAACTATAATTTTTAGTGGTTCATTTAACTGAAACTGTTTAATATTAACAGTTCGATTAATTAATATATTAAATGTAACTATTATACCGGTTAACGGTTACAATTAAAGGTTGTTTTACAGCTGGCAATCTGTTAGGAGGGTGTGAGGTATTTTCATGCTGAATGAGAGCAAATAACAGGAATACCACTATACCTATACGTAGATGATAACGTTACACCTCAAAAGTTGGGTATAGAACTAAAAGAGGTAATAAGCAAATGAAATAAATAATTGCACCCACATATTTTTATAGATACAACTATATTATTACATACACCCACCGTAATTATTACAGGAATATAAATAGAAATTTGAAAATTTTCCATCGAATATTTAATTACACAAATGAAATTTTTAATTTTAATTATAAAATGTTGTTTTGTTGAGTTTATGATTACTAAAAATTATAAAGTAATATTCTGATTTAATACAATATTTTGTTTAGTCTCCGGCTATTAAAAGTTAGAAAATAGTCATCTGACTATTCATATATTCTAAGTTCATCATTTTTCATTAAAATTTTGACTGTAATTTGAGTTGGACATTAACCTCCTAACTATGATATGATAAGATATGATATCAAAATCTCAAACGACTACCTTATCATAGCCACTATATTAAAGTTTAGCTTATATGACCGTTAATTTTTAATAGAAAATGACGAGTTTAGAACATATGCACAATCATATGACTATTTTATAAATTTTAATAATCAAGAGACTCAATAATGCAATGTTCTATAATTATAGGACTAAACTTTTAATAGTCAGAAAACTAAACAAAATAATACGCCATGATCGAAAATCATTTGCGTACTCTTATCTTATTTAATTTTATTAAATATCCAAATTAAATAAATTTAAAAAGTTAATTAAAAATAAACATGAATATTTAAATTCAAATCTATCATCTATAAAAAAAATAAATACAAATGATGAGTATCTAAATTTCACTTCATAATTTATAAAAATAAACAGGTGTCCAAACTATATTGTTTTTCTCAAGTCTCTAAACTTGTTTTTAATCGTTTAAGTGTCTAACATTACAAACGATACCACTTTAGGTGCCTTGATCGTAACAACAGTTATAATTTTTTCATTAAGTGAAACGTGTCGCATGTATACAATTTTAAAAATTTTATTTCTTAAAAAAAATTAAAAAAAAAAACCTTTCCAACCCGCGTCTCCCTCCCCTGCTTTTACATGGCCAAATGGCAAAAGACCAATAGACAAACGATTGACTGTCACAGTCGGCTAAACGAATGATTACCACGATCAATCAAAGAGTGTTGAATCTATTTTGATATAATAAATTTAAGGGCAAAATATTTTTGGACTTGATTGAATTTATTTATAGTTTTCAAAATAATTCAAAGTCCATAAAAATTGAATTTGAATACAAAATTGATTTTATAGGTAAGTAGTATCGATATTACATGAACAATACTGATATTGTTCTTGCATCATCGATACAAAATGTAAGAGAAGTATCGGTACTCCCAAGACAATATCGACAGTACCGATACTGCCTTGTATTTTCAAATGTGTTCAAATTCCAATAGCATATTTAGATATTGATATTCAAAAGAGTATCAATATTACTTTATATAGTAATATTGATTCTCACTGTCCAACGATCACAAACATCTACTTTATTTAGAGAGAGTATTGATACTCTTGAAGAGAGTATTAATACTATCTGATCTGGGCAGTTTTTTTTACAATTTTTTTTATCTCAACGGCTCCAAACTTCAACGGCTAGAAACTGTCACAAACATATTCTAACATATAAAATCAAGTTCAAGACACTTGAAGAATATTACAAAACACTTGAAGAATATTACAAAACACCTATCCTAATATTGATCATCAAGAAAAAAGTTTTTCACTCTTTTATTTCTTTTTCTTTTATAAATAGTGTGTTTTAGTGAGTTTAAATTGTAAACACTTTCCTTTGAGATGTTTATTGTTTACATTTTTCTTATCATTGTGTAAAAGGGGAGTGATTCTATCTCAGCCATTTAAAATATAGGGAAATTGTAAATGTTACTTTTGAGCCTTGAAAAAGTAAGAACAAAATAGTGAATTTGTTAGAAATCCTTAGTGTGGAACTAAGGTAGTAGATGTAGACTAGGTTGAGAAGTCGAACCACTCTAAATCGTTGTGTGTATTTCCTATTCTTTCTCTTCATAATCCCTAAAATTTTTATTTGACTAATTCACCCATTCTTGGCATATTTTCGGTTAATCGATCGAGCTTCATAAATCTCAACAAAGAGATTTAAGGGATTGAATATTTGAGATTTTAGAGATTTGGAATCAAAGTGTAGGGATTTAGGAATTTTAGATTTTGAGATAATAGCGAGAGTTATGATCGGTCAGTGGGTGGTCAACGTCGAAAGGATGGTCGCTCATCGATGGATGGGTGACTGGAAATGACCGTCAATTGAAATAGAAGGGACTAAAATAAGAAATTTTAAGAATTTGAAATTATTTTTCAGATTTTAATTTTTTAAAGATTTTTTTAAATATTAATTTTATGTTTTTTTAAATAAAATTTAAAAAATATAAATATAATTTGTATCACTTAATGAGATCTTTTACTGATCGTTACGCTTAAAATACTTAAAGTGATAGCGTTTGAAATATTAAATATCTGGATGAATTGAGAAAACATTTAAACATCTATATGAGAAAAGTGACATAATTTTAACACTTATTTTTTAATCAATCCTAATACAAAATCACATCGTTCTTAATACGCTGTATGTAATCATTTTTATTAAATAAAAAGAGACTGTAATTTCAAAGTAAATGTTGAGATTTAAGTTTATACCTGAGATAATATATTTAATCACTCGATCAACCAACAGATGTTAAACATCGGTGAAATTCATCATCGTTCTAACGATGAAATGCATAAGTTTACTGGAGCTTATACCGAAGACCAGGAGTTTGCCTCGATCCAGTTAAAAGCTATAGGGCTTAGAAAAGCGTCGGGGATGCCGAAGGAAGTGATCAAAGCAAGCGCATGTGGTCGAAGTTCGCTGCAGATTTCGGTTATTTCTTGCCTCACACTCGCACCATTTTCGACCGATAGGTACCCATATCGAACATACGAAACATCTTCAAGACAAATCAAGGCGTATAACGATCTCAACGTACCTAGTACATCCTGCAGAACAAGAAAATGAAGATGACAACGAGACTCTAGTAGGATTCAGCCTGCTCATTTCGAGCTCAAGCCATTTAGTTTTTGGTTTAGTATGGTCGGGTTGGGTTTCGAAATGGCTGGTCAAGTCATTCAGATTAGGAGAAACATTAAATGATGTTAACCTTCAATGAACCAGCAGGTAGATTTGCTTCTGCCTCGATAAATGTTTGAAACATTGCTCGATCCGAGAAAGCTCTGCTCAAATCCTCTGCTAGCTGATAACACTGGTGTTCCAAAGTGATGGTGGTGAGAATTAAATTAAAAGGACATAGAAAAAGGATACAATTCAGATGAACAAGTGTTCTTCCTAACCATGAGGAAGGCCTGCTGGGTACTTTCTCCTTCAGATTTACATTTCGAGACATCCGCAACGAGACGATTCAAAAGATCTCTCTCCCTTAAGCACAATGCATCCATCTGACATAGGGCATTAATTAGAGACACCCATAAATATTAATACAGTATTTTACAAACAGAAGAACCGATGATACTAGTATAATACCTGGAACTGACTGCATCGGAGGGTAGAGCTAGTAAGCTGTGATGGGATGACGGGGCAGGGTTTATTCATGTGTTCTAAGCCAAGACCCTTGAAAGCCTTGTTTCTTTTCTGAGCTGCCATGTATTCAGAAAAAAGAGCCTTGCTGACCTGCTGCATTAGAATATTGTTGTCGCCCTCGAAAGTCGATTGCACATCGTATTCGCCTTTCAAATGACCGACACGATTCTCGGTCTTCAATCCTTGTCCTCCACAGGCTTCACGGCATTCCTAAACCATTCAACAATTGAACCTATGTAATGACACTTACAGTTAAAACACCGACTGAATTCGGTATAATTGGTTGCTCACCTGAAGTATTTGCATGTTATTCCAAGTAAACGTTGCTTTGAATGAACTCGAAACTATATGAATGGTTTTGTTTGAATCAGGCGTCCTCTTCACATACAGCATTTTCAAGTAATTTGCTGCGAAACTCATAGCATAGCTGCAGAGCATATAAATGGAGAAATTATCAAAACCAACTGTTCTAGATCCATGCAAAGGATGGCATGGTGAGTCAAGCTAGAAGCATCATAGTCGGGAGTGCGAATCACACGCGATAAATTGTAGATGCACTTACGTCTTTGCAACCAGCGGGATGAGTCGTCCTTGATGACTCGGGTAATCGAGCAATAAGACCTCGGGTTCATTCGGTTTGAGAGAAAAAGCGCGCCTCGTTAGTGCATACCTAATGGCAATTGCTAAAGCAACCTACAAGGGAGTGCAATGACATTATTTTATCAATGACCTTTCCATTTGGTATTAGTTGCAGGGCATTCCGCACAGTGTGCAATGCTAGTTTGCCAATAAAAAGTTACAAGAAGCATTGAGAAAAAAAAAACGAAATACCTTTGATTGGTAAACTGAAGTACATGCTATATTAACACGACCTACTGTCAGAGGGGCCATGAAAGCAGCAAATCTCTGAATTAAAGTAACAGACAGAGCCACCAGAACAATATTAGCACCGAAAAAGGACCTTTTGTCGTACGATACTCGACTTTAAAAGCGGATAACAGTCATCTCGATTAGGAATACCTGATCAGGGTTTTCGATCGAACTTAGGTATTTTCCATCAGGTGAAACATCAGCAACAGAATTCAACAAGTTCTCTCTAGGCACTCTAACATTGTCAAACCTGAAATCACAGAGGTAAACCTTTCAGATTCAAACTTTTGAAGGAAACAAGAATGTTATAAGAATTCATGGTAAAAGGGTCTAGGTTTTGAATTACCAGATTCGACCGTTATCGACACCATTTAAACCGATTTTGTGACCACAGTCAGCAATACGAATGTTTGGACATATGTTACCATCAGCATCCCGGATTTGGACTATAAATGCATGAACCCCTTGATTGCTTCCATTGACATATAGCTGTGAAAACAAAACTGTATGCGTCGCATGCTAGAAAGGCAAACCAACATCAAAGAAACAGAAATACACCATGTCAGCATATACACGAAACAGTTTAACGAAATTTTCTTGTACGCAATAGACGATGCATACATTGGCTGCCCCACCAATCCAATACTTCTGAGCTGATTCACAAGGAGTATTAATGACAAACTCCCCCGTGTTCGAATCGTACGTCGTTATGGTTTCAACACCGCGAACCTAAAAAAAGTAATGACAGAATCAATCATGAACGAGAAAAGTAGATGACTGCATAACATCACAAAAAGACATGACCCATAACCACATACATTACTTCCATGCCCCAATTCCGTCATTGCGAAGCAACCCTTGATCAAGTAATTTTCACTATCCCTAAGCCACTTCTCATGATGGTGTTTTGTACCCAGAAATTTGATGGCGCCTCCCCTGCATATTTACAACAATCAAAGGAAGCCTATAATTCTTCATAATTACATTTGTTCGCTTGCAGTTTACTGCCCAGAATCTTAATACGTTTATTATCGGCATTAAATCTGAATCCAAATATTCTCCAAATCTGTAAAAACTAAATCAAATATCTGCAAATATCTAAATTAGCACTATCAAGTCATCCCTGTGTCTACCTCAATTTCAATCCAAACACATACAAGAACGGTGAACAATCATAATAATTTATACAGTTCAAAGAAAGCGAATAGAAGAATACCACAAGAAGAAATGAACACCGAGCTTAGTGAAGAGTGAATGATCGTAGACGCTCGAAACCTCGAATCCAGCGAATTTCCTCATCTCGATCTCTTCTCCTTCCTCGGTCAACCACCCTTTGAACACCCCTCTCTCGAGAAAATACTCGATTCTTTTCCACGTCATCTCCCTCTGCTGCTCCATCGAATGGTTATAATCCGGCGACACGAACACCTTCCCTCCCCTCACTCTCGGGTTGAACAACTTGCTTTGTCTCATCAACCCGAACAGCCAATCCCGTTCCTCCACGTCGTGCCCGTCTATAAGCTTCCTCATCTCCTTGACGTCGAATGCATGGTTTTCAGAAAGTTCCGGTGGAGAGTAACTTAAACAAGCGTTGGAAGAAAGGGGCGACGGCGGCGGGGACGATCGGAGGAGATGGTTTGTTAGAATCTGAGTTCTTTGGAAAGCTCGATCCATTGTGGAATTCGGATTTTTATTATTTTTCTTAATTTTGCAAAGAAAATTCAAGAAGAAAGATGAGGAGAGAGATGCTTTGATCCTTTGAGAGGTGTAAAAATGGAAGTTTATTTTATTTTATTTATTTTTTTGTTCACTTAAGAGCGCTGACTTATAAAACTTGTTTTGGTCAAATTCGTCTAGTAATCCTTGTAGTATATATAAATTGTTAATTTAGTTATTATATCAGTCAAATTTATTTTCTATACATTTTAAATCTTTACAAAAAGTATTTACAAATATAATACAATTATATGGATTTTATAAAATCTATTTTAACTTGACATCTAATACAATAATTTTGATATAAATATACTATATACATAAATATGACGTGTGGAAATATATAAATAATGGGTATATTACACATTTTTGTTTTAGTACCTAAACTTTTATTTTTTTTAAAACCATGCTTAAAGTTTAATTTTTATTTCATTTTAGTATATCGATCAAAATTAACATGAATTTTTAAAAATTTGAAAGTTTAGGTACTAAAATGGATTAAAACTGGTAGTTTACTTACTAAATACATAATTTACCCATAAAGAATAACATCAAATAATTAAGGGCAAAGTACACAAAATGTCCTCCAACTATAGGGTATTGGTTTATTAAGTTTCGTGACTATTAAAAGTTATAAAATAGTCATCCGACTAGAGAGTGTTATTTTATTGAGTCCATTGATTATTAAAAGTTATAAAATGGTCAAAAGACTATTCATTATGTTCTAATATCGTCCATTTTTTGTTAAAAATTTGATCGTATTATGAATTGAACGTTAATATGTTGATGGTGATATTATAAAATCTTATCTCAGGATTTCAAATGACTATCATATTTCAATAATCATGTTAACATTTAACTTAGATAATCACCAATTTTTAACATAAAATACCAAATTTATTATATAATAAATAGTCGAGTGACCATGTTATAACCTTTAATAGTTGAGAGACTTAACAAAACAACATTCTATAGTTATTGGATTAGTTTATAATTTTTAATAATTAGAGGACTTAATAAAGTCGTATCTTATAGTTAAGGGACCATTTGTGTCCTTTACCCTCTAATTAAATGGATGGAATTGAGGATGGCGGCGGGAATGAGTTGATTAATGGTTACGCAAAAGATAAGGCTGAGTGCAGTTTGTTTTTTGCGCTTTCCAAAGTTTCTTGTCTGTATATATTGGGATACTTTAATATTCAAAGTTAAGACATCAATTGTTAATCTTTTAATAAAAAAATACAAAAAAAACCATGGTGTATTATTGTATAAAAAATAAATATACATTGATATTTGAGTTAGATAATATTTTAAAAATTAACATAATATTAAAAAAATATTTTTAACACTCAATAGAATTATCATTTTGACTTATATTCAATATTTTATTTTAAAGTAAAATGACTCTTGATTATATAGAAAAATCATTTATTGATTAATAATTAATGATTATAGTTGACGTAAGATTGTTATGTCATAATTTTCGTCGTGTGACATGTATTATATTATCAATATTTTAAAAAATATTAGATGAATTTAACTCATAATGTCATCATGATTTTGGTCTAATAAATTCATAGGTATGATACATTTGGGTCTAAATAAACGGTGTTTTTCCTGAAATATCATCGGTGACTGATATATTTACTGATCTAATATCGGTCATATTATATTTCTAGATCTAACACCCGTAGTAATAAAGCGCGCCTCTTGACCCGCGCTATACGCTGATTTGACGCCACGTGGGGTATAGCGCCCCCCCTGCACCACACTATTTGCTGACTAGGTTACACATGGGGTATAACGTGCCCCCTGAACCGCGCTATACATGTGTATCTAGACAATTATATTTAGCGCAGACTCTGATCCGCGCTATATCATTATTACATATACCGCAGTGCAGGTATCGCGCCTTGTATGACTATGTATACCCTTCTCCCCCGGTTATGTTCCTCACATCTCTCCTCTCAACTTATAAATTAATACAATAATTCCGTCAACGAGTAAATAATTTTGGCAATCTTCTCATATTTAGTTTAGAAGTTCGTGCGATTTTTCGTTATAAGGTAATTTTGTTATAATTTTTTTATTATACTTATTATTTAATCTGTGTCATTTGAAAAAATATTATACTAATTATTTTCAATTATATTATTTAAATTATTTACGTTGATGTGTAAAAATTTATTGTGTTATATTTTTGTTCATATATAATTTATTTAATCAGGTTTGTTTCAGTTATTTTTTTTGCAGATATAATATTGTCGCACTTTTAAACTCAAAGAATGGCGCGACTTTCAGCTATTGTTTATTATGATGGTGAAATTCGAGAAGATGAAACCGGCTTTGTTTTCGTATCAAATAAGCGTGTTAAAATATCATTCAAGAGAAACATAACTTTTGAGGAGCTGATAACGAAGATTTCGAGGAAGATTCATGTTGGAAGTAGTAGAAGAATGTCGTCGTTGCAGTACAAATTTCCAACGTCATTGTTGCCATTAACTTATACAGTGTTCGAACTTTCGAACAATGATGATGTTGAAATGATGGTTGAAGCTCAAAGTAATTATTCAGACGCCGCTATTGAGATGTATGCACATTTTGTTCAAGTACGTGCTGATCGGGGTCAATCATTAAGCTCTCACTATGGGCTAGCTGAACAAGTTGATCAAATTGACATCCCGACTACAGTAATGTGTAATGATTTTTAATGCCATAATGGGGAGACATTCATCCGTAACTCCTTACGATATGTACCGAGGTAGATCCACGAACAATCCGTATGGAAATACCGCGTAAAGTTCAAGGGGAAGACATTCATCTGCAAATTTCTTTGACCATATGGAGATGCCATCGACGCAACCATATGTGCAGTTTCTATTTGACACGATGGCTTCAAGCTCCAGGGGGAGGCATTCGACTGCGAGCTTTTTCGATCTCAATGTCGATATATCTTCCAGTTCAAGGGGAAGGCGTGCAAGTAGTATGTTCTTCGACCTAAATGTGGAGAGCATGGAGGAATCATCATCTCCACCAGAAGAACCGCTTCGTGAGCCTGGTGCGGATGGTGCTGAGACTGAACTATTCATTCACCCAGAATCACCGCAATTCAACTCCGATGATGATGAAGTTCCAGGAAATGTGGCACAAACTGACCCTCCTGCACACATGTATGAAGCTGATTATGGTGCAATGTACGGGTCAGAATTTACGGATATGCCTCATCTCGATTAATATGGATATTACTCATTAATAAATAATGGTGAGTTATCTTTAGACATGTAGTTTTCAAGCAAAGAAAAAGCGATGATGACTATAAAAAATTACAATATCCGTAGTTTTGTTCAGTCCAGAGTAAACCGATCGACGACCGAAAAATATGTATGCTATTGTGCCTGACGTGAAAACGGATGCAAATGGATAGTTCGCGTATCAAAAATAAAGAGGAAAACAACATATGGGAACTAACAGTATACAACGGTCCTCACACATGTTGTGCTGGAGGGGTCAACCAAGATCATCCCAACTTGGACTCTGAAGTGATATGCCAAGCCATCATGCACATGGTAAAAGCAAGCTCTCATATAGCTGTTGGAGTGTTGATTTCAGCTATACAATCGTAGTATGGGTACACTGTCTCCTATAAAAAAGCTTGGTTGGCAAAACAAAATGTTATTGCCAAACTTCATGGCGAATGAGATGCATCTTACAACGAACTTACAAGCTGGTTTAGGCTGGTGCGGAGATTGAATCCTGGGACAATTGTGGACTTCGAAACCTCCTATGCATACCATAATGATCGAGTTTTCCGCGATCGATGCCAATTCTACCGGGTTTTTTGGACTTACCCACAGTGTATTAATGTTGTCAAATACTGCAAGCCTGTGGTCCAGATCGACGGGACTTTCTTGTATGGAAAATATAAGCAAGTTTTACTATTAGCAGTTATCCAAGATAGAAAACGCAACATTCTTCCAGTTACTTTTGCTCTTGTCGAAGGAGAAAATACATATTCTTGGGCTTTTTTCCTCCGAAATTTACGTGCACATGTTATCACGGGGGGAAAACTTTGTGTCATTTATGACCGCGGAGCTGGGATCAAAGCAGCAATGGAGTATTTGGGTCCAATGTGGAAACCACCCTTTGTCCAACATAGGTATTGTCTCCGACACATTGTTGCGAACTACCATGGAAGATACAAGAAGAATGATGAGCGTCAATTACTTGTGCGTGTGGGTAAGTGATACTGATGTAGTTTGTTTTCTTTCGATCCTTTTGATCAGGTTAGTAAGTTATACATTTTTTGATCAGTTTACGAACTTCTTCCTCGAACGTTTGAATCAATGCTTCAAGATTTGCGGGCGAAGAACGAGGAAGGATACAATTACATTAGCCTCGTGGATATCGATATGAACACATGACGACTAACTTGGCTGAGGCAATCAATTCAACCTTAAAGGGTGCACGTCACTTACCTGTCGAGCCCCAACTGAATGATCCGGCGAGACGAAAGTCGCTAAGATGTCGCAACCACATGCAGTAAACTAGGTTGTGCAATTTGTCTGGCCTCAATAACGCTCCTATCAACTGCAATATGCATGCCCGTGCATACATCTTAACCTCATCCTCAGAGGCGTCTGCGCTCAACTCCTGAAAATTGGCATATAACCAATTTAACGGTATCCTACCTCCGATAAAACTTTCCGGGACACGTCCTAGATTTTCCCGGCACAAAGTAGTCCAAGAACCGGAAGCTATCCCTGATATCACATCTCCATCCACCGGAAGCCCTAGGTGCATAGAAACATCCTCAAGCGTGATCGTGCACTCTCCGCACGGAAGATGGAATGTGTGGGTCTCCGACCTCCACCGCTCTACTAAGGCAGAAATAAGGTCTGGTTCTATCTTACAGTGACCCTGATATCTACCTATGTAACCAAATACAACCTCTACTAAATACGGCAAGACACGGCTAGGTATCACTAACTTAAGATTCATAATAAAAGGATCTAATATACGGTCATTCTCCTAAAAATAAATAATTACAAAAATTAATTCGTAATCTAATAATCATGCATTAAATAAATCAACAAATTATTACTAATAATTTAAATTAAATTAAAACGTTAAAATGTTACCGTATCAGCAAAGTGTCGAGATATATGATTTCCATCTAAGCGAAGTAGACCGCCTTCCATTATATATCTACAAAAAATTTATATTAGTAAAATATTAAATAAAGTAAAATACTTAAATAAATTAAATACATAATATTAAAAATATTATAAAATATACCTTAAACGAGAGAGAATTTGAGAGAATTCGATAGAATTTGGTGTGATGAAAGTGATTGAGGATGAGGTATTTATAAGGAAGGGTGGGGTGTGAACGACCGAGTAATTAAAGCTACAGCGCGCCTCCTGGACCGCGCTATACCCCACGTGTCAGATAAATAGGTATAGCGCGGAACAGGGGGCGCGTTATAGCCACGTGTAACCCAGTCAGCGTATAGCGCGGTACAGGGGGCGCGCTATACCCCACGTGGCTCCAAATCAACATATAGCGCGGGTCAGGGGCGCGCTTTACTGCTACGGGTGTTAGATCGGGAAATATAATCTGACCGGTGTTAGATAGGTAAATATACCGATCACCAGTGATATTTCGAAAAAAACGTCTAAATAAACTTGTTTTACCGTATCGACCCGAATTGATTTGCTTTTTTACTAAAAAATAATCCTAACAACAAAATGTTCAATGTTGGCCATTTTTTCTTCAAATATGATTGATCTAGCAATTTTTTTAACAAAGCGAAGATAATGAGGTATGCTTTCATGGGTTATTTTCGAGCTGGCATCACGTTGGAAGGTGCAAATCATAAAACACGTATTCGCAAGATTTCGTATGAACTAAAAAATAATAATTAATACAATAAAATTTGGTTAAATAATTAAATATAAAATAAATCGAATATAATAAAAATAATTTTAATTTCTAAAAATTATAACAAAATCTACTTAGTTTATTAAAAGAAAGAATGTGAATAATTTTAGTGTGGTTTGATATTTGTATTTAGGGATATTTATATGAGAGAGGAGGGTTGAATAGACGAGATTTAAGACTCGGGTAATAATTGAGTATGTAATAATTCAAAGTGAATAATAGAAGATGCATCTTATGATACACGTCTTCCTGTAAATGTCAGATTTCTTCGTGAAGGCATGCGACATAACTGCACCTTCCAATATGACGTCAACTAAAATAGAATCCCGTAAAAACAAGCTTTATAATATGTCTTTACATTGTGGCACAAATTCAAATAAAATATTGTGATTGTATATTTTATGATTTGCACTTTATCAGAAAAGATGTTAATTCGATAATATTTGAAGGAGTTGCTAGGGTGATTTTTTTTTGTTGGTAAAAACGCCTGAAATCCTCCCTGGTCTGATTTGCCAATCTTTTCTTTCATCGCCTTCACTTACCCGTCTCCTTTACTTCCCACAGTGTGCCCTTAAAACTCACGCAGCCCACTCTTAATACCGTGTTCCTGCACGATCCGGCGAAAATTCGGTCGAAAATGTTGCCGCAGGAGCTCCAATCCCGCTCCTTCCGTCCCTACATCTCGTCGTCGATCAGCGCCCCTTCTTTCTCTTCCTTCACCAACAACCCTTCCTCCGAAGATCCCGACCCAAACCCTGATTCTAACCACAGTTCGAAATCCAGCTACCCTTCCTTCCCCACCTCTTCTTCCTCCCGATCCCTGAAGCACTCCCGCTTTTCCCCTTCCTCTTTCGCCCATAACGCCCGCTTCGCCATCGCCCTCGTCCCATGCACCGCTTTCCTCCTCGACCTCGGCGGCACTCCCGTCGTTGCGACGCTGACGCTGGGGCTAATGATCTCGTACATCATCGATTCGCTCAATTTCAAATCCGGCGCTTTCTTTGGCGTTTGGTTCTCTCTCATCGCTGCTCAGATCGCTTTCTTCTTCAGCTCTTCGCTTTACTATACATTGAACTCGGTTCCCCTATCCATCCTCGCGGCGTTTCTTTGCGCCGAGACGAATTTCCTCATCGGGACCTGGGCTTCGCTTCAGTTCAAGTGGATTCAAATTGAAAACCCATCGATTGTTTTGGCTTTGGAGCGGCTTCTCTTTGCTTGCGTTCCTTTTGCCGCTTCTACGATCTTTACCTGGGCTACCGTCTCTGCTGTTGGTATGAACAATGCTTCTTACTATCTGATGGCTTTCAATTGCGTTTTCTATTGGGTTTTCGCGATTCCTATGGTTTCTTCTTTTAAAACCAAACAAGAAGTGAAGTACCACGGTGGAGAAGTTCCTGATGATAATTTGATTCTTGGTCCACTCGAGAGCTGTCTCCATACTTTGAATTTATTGTTTTTTCCTCTCCTTTTCCATATCGCTTCACATTACTCTGTGATGTTCTCATCTGCTGCTTCCATCAGTGATTTGCTGCTTCTATTCTTTATTCCTTTCTTGTTCCAATTATATGCTTCAACAAGAGGGGCATTGTGGTGGGTCACGAAAAATCCCCTCCAGCTGCGTAGCATACAGTTGGTCAACGGTGCAATTGCATTGATTGTTGTTGTGGTTTGCCTTGAGATTAGAGTTGTGTTTCGATCCTTTGGGAGGTACATTCAGGTGCCGCCGCCACTAAATTATCTTCTTGTCACCACTACCATGCTTGGAGGAGCTGCTGGAGCTGGTTTTTATGCACTGGGAATGGTATCCGATGCATTTAGCTCATTGGCCTTCACTTGTTTGGCTGTTGTTGTCAGTGCTGCTGGTGCAATTGTGGTTGGATTTCCAATACGGGTATGTTTGTTCTTTTGTTGCCTTATTTGAAATGAACCAACTTAGTAACTGTTCTTATGCAAAACACGATACAGGGTAATTATTTTGTTTTATTCTTCACTTGTTTTGCCCACTGGTCATGTTTCACTGTGTGTTGTCTCCTAAAGTGTATTTAGACGAGCATGGCAAGTAGAAAAATAGCATTTGAATACGGTATGCTGTCTGTGCACTTCCTTGTGGAAGTTGGAATTTAGAAACTCTACAACTTTACTTTGCATGAGAAGATAATATATTTCTTTAGTGATTTACACATTCTACTAGATTTTCTGAGGCTGCAGTGACACTTTGAAATTAGTAGCTTGGATTTGGCTCTATAATGGTTACTTCTTGAATCTTGGTTCTTGTTCCAGTAATTGTGAGGCAAAATAGATGATATCGAAGATGAAGTTGGCTTCTGTTTTGTTAATGTTGCAAAGTGAATCTCCAAATTTTAGTTAGTTTTATAGGGTTTAAGGATGTTTGACAAATGCCTAGGACGATCTATCTTCTTGTTACGTTGTTGTCTTATCCTAATTAGAATTGAACTAGTCATTTGCAAGGTAATGGATACCAGACTTTTCTATGCTTTGTGATATTCCCATTTATTCTTCTTTCACAAAATTTTGTATTTGACTTTACATATTAATAAAACTATGCTTTTCAAAATAAAAATGTGCCTCACGTGTTGCATGTTGTGCTTGTTACAAACATTTGAATCTCTTTGATAATTGCTATTCTTAGCTTGTTCTGTCATATAATGAATCTTAGCGAATGATAAGGCAGAAAAGGAAAGGAACTCTTATTTTAATGTTTAGAAGTTTTAGTGGTATTTACTTGTTTTGCAGTTTGTTCCGTTACCTTCAGTTGCTGGCTTTTACTTAGCTCGTTTCTTTACAAAGAAGAGCCTCCCGTCATATTTTGCCTTCTTTGTGCTTGGGAGCTTGATGGTCATGTGGTTTGTGATGCATAATTTCTGGGACTTAAATATATGGTTGGCAGGCATGTCCCTGAAATCCTTTTGTAAGCTTATTGTTGTGGATGTTGTTTTAGCCATTGCTATTCCAGGTTTAGCACTTCTTCCATCAAAATTTCATTTTCTGACTGAAGTCAGTTTGATCAGCCACACATTGCTACTATGCCATATTGAGAATCGGTTTTTCAGTTACTCAAGCATATACTATTATGGATTGGATGATGATGTAATGTATCCAAGCTACATGGTTATTCTAACAACAATGATTGGATTTGCACTTGTGCGACGACTATCTGTGGATCATCGAATTGGACCCAAAGCAGTTTGGATTTTGACTTGCCTTTATTCCTCGAAGCTGTCTATGTTGTTTCTTACATCAAAATCTGTTGTGTGGGTGTCAGCTATCCTTTTATTGGCTATTTCGCCTCCATTGCTTCTTTACAGGTAAGCACCTTATCTCTCACCCTCTCTCTAATTCTTATATTGAAATTTTGTATTCCCCCCCCCCTCTTTTTTCTTTTTGTTCACTTTATAAACTTTGAAGGGATAAGTCGAAAACAGCATCGAAGATGAAAGCCTGGCAAGGCTATGCACATGCTGCTGTGGTTGCATTATCAGTATGGTTTTGCCGTGAAACAATTTTTGAAGCATTACAATGGTGGCATGGTAGACCTCCATCTGATGGTCTACTTCTAGGCTTTTGTATCCTTTTGACAGGATTGGCCTGTGTACCCATAGTTGCTCTGCATTTCTCTCATGTCATGGTATGGATGCATTCTGTTTTTGCCCACATATCTTTTATGTTAAAAGGAATCTAGTTTTGTCTGATTAGAAAAGGAGTTTAATGTTCATTATTGCTTCTAATACCTTAGGAAAAGAAATTAAACTATCTGATATTTAGCTTTATCTTATTGAGTTGGATACCATAGATGATATACTGCTTCATGATTCTTGAACATGAATAAGAAATGATGGCAGTTTTATGCTTCAATTGTCTTAAAAAAATGTATGACAAGGTATTTTGTTTCTTTATAGAAATTGTAGTGCATTGATTATATTCCATTCTTGTTTATGCAGTCTGCAAAGAGATGCATTCTATTGGTGGTGGCAACAGGTCTCCTCTTTATCCTAATGCAACCACCAATTCCATTATCATGGACTTACCGATCTGAGATAATAAGAGCTGCACGCCATTCTGCTGATGATATTTCCATATATGGCTTTATGGCGTCAAAACCAACTTGGCCTTCGTGGCTACTTATATTGGCAATTCTTCTAACTTTAGCTGCTGCGACATCCGTCATACCCATTAAATACATTGTGGAGTTGAGAGCATTTTATGCCATTGCGATGGGTATTGCTCTCGGTGTTTACATATCTGCTGAGTTTTTCCTTCAGGCTGCTGTCCTTCATGCCCTCATCATTGTAACAATGGTTTGTGCATCTGTTTTTGTGGTCTTCACCCATTTTCCATCTGCTTCCAGCACGAAGCTTCTACCATGGGTGTTTGCCCTCCTCGTTGCTCTATTTCCTGTGACTTACCTATTGGAAGGTCAAGTGAGAATTAAAAGCTTCCTTGCAGAAAAGGAATTTGGTGGTACCGGAGAGGAAGAGAGGAATCTTACAACTCTACTGGCTGTTGAGGGGGCCAGGACATCTCTTCTCGGTCTGTATGCAGCAATCTTTATGCTCATAGCTTTGGAAATAAAATTTGAACTTGCCTCACTTATACGGGAAAAGTTTCTCGATAGGGGTCCAGTTAGACATAAACCGTCTGGTCAAAGCAACTCAGGGGGTTTCCCTCCACGAATGAGGTTCATGCAACAACGCAGTGCCTCTTCCATGTCATCCTTCACGATTAAACGGATGGCTGCCGAAGGGGCATGGATGCCCGCTGTTGGTAATGTTGCTACCGTGATGTGCTTTGCTATATGCCTGATCCTAAACGTTAATCTCACCGGTGGCTCAAATCAGGCAATATTCTTCCTGGCTCCAATACTACTGCTGCTCAATCAGGACTCTGATTTCGTTGCCGGATTCGGGGACAAACAGAGGTATTTCCCCGTTACAGTCGCCATATCAGTATATTTGGTCATAACCTCATTATACAGCATATGGGAAGATGTCTGGAATGGAAACGCCGGGTGGGGCATGGAAATCGGGGGTCCCGGTTGGTTCTTCGCGGTCAAGAATCTAGCCCTCCTGATCCTTACATTCCCAAGCCACATCCTATTCAACCGATTCGTCTGGACGTACTCAAAGACAACAGATTCTACGCCTCTGCTAACATTGCCCCTCAATCTGCCGTCGATCGTGATATCGGATCTGGTTAAGATTAGGGTTTGGGATTGTTAGGCATTATTTATTCCGTGGCCCAGTATATAATATCTAGACAGCAATACATCTCCGGATTGAAATATATTTAGACGAAAGGAATGGTAGATAGATGCTTTGATTTTGTACAATATATTTTGGCAATTTTCAGGTGAGATTTTTGTATAAGTTGGGAGTGGTTTCATCAAGTTCACTCTCAGCTTGGCTTATCTCTCTGCTCGTGAATGCCAGGATCTTGACATTTTGATTGTTTACGGCCAATAACTATATGGAAGAGACTCACTAGCCTAGTCTTGATTCTTTCTTCTTTGATTTCACCTTTCAGCAACATGATATACACTCATGGTAAAAGTGATCAGTTTATAACTTTTTATAATTAGTGGACTCAAAATAATTATAATGAGGATTATTTATGTATTTTTAACCATTATAAAATTGCGTATGCATTCATAAGCAATTTCAGCCGTTAGATTTTTCTTATTAAATTGGGTAAACTCGCATTTAGTACCTAAATGATCAGTTTTAATCCGTTTTAGTACTTAAGCTTTTAATTTTTGCAAAATCATACTTGACGTTTAGTTTTTGTTTTATTTTAGTGTCGTACCGTCGCAAACTTAACGCGTTTAGTACTTAAACTGTCAATTTTTGTCCAGTTTAGTACCTAAACTTTCAAAGTATTTCAAAACTATGTTAAATTTTGAACGGGATACTAAAATAAAATAAAAATTAAACTTTGGGTATGATTTTGAAAAAAGTCAAAAGTTTAAGTATTAAAACGGATCAAAACTGATAATTTAGGTATAAATGCGTAATTTACCCTATTAAATTCCCGGTCCAATTTCACTTAAAACTCCCCCATCAGCAAACCCTAAGCCGTAACCCGCCACTCTCTCCTATCTTCGAATTGGCTCGTTTTTGTTATCGTTTACAATTTATTGCAACCAAAAATAGATTTTTTTTTCTAAGTTAAAGCTTTGATTGTTTGAATTCAGGTTGTTGCAAAGCATGGATTCAGAAGTAAACGCATATAGACCTCCACGAGAATTTGAAGAAGATTCTAATCAACAACTCGTCGATCTTACACTAACGTATTTTTATTATTTTGAGTACTCGTTCCTAATCCCATATACAGTTCCAAAAATGAATTGGAGAGCTGTCCTTGTAATAAAAGTTTACGGTATCCGATTTGAATTAATCGACTAATAAGTTCGGTGCAAATGGGAAGTCAAAAGAATTTCAATAATTTGAAGGCCCTGCGTCTCAGCAATTGCAGATGGGGCTAAAAGCTTAACAATGTAATAGAAAAAGAAAATGTCAATAAATAGGATATTCGACTCATACTAATTAAATAAATATTTTACAGCACATTACTCTTATACTACTTTCTCATCAGCCAAAATTTTGAAGCTTTCCTCTCTCTTTCCCCCCCTATATTTCAGGTGAGCCTGAAGAAAAATATTTAGAATTACTTCAAGTTTCACCAGTAGAAAGATCTCGGATGGATGTGATTTCACGAAAAGGTTCGTCCCGGCTGAAAGAAACCGGCTTTTGCTAGCATGATCCCTTTGAAGAACAAGTATCTTCGTTTTCTGAACTCAAAGGGCTTTCTTGATTATTCTCCTCATGGTTAGCTGAACGAGCTTTTCCGGGCCTCGTTCGAGCGATAACTCCCGCCGGAAATGGGACCTGCAATGCAAGTTTCGAGGCTTAAGATGACATTGTGATGCAAAATGAAAAATGAAGAGTCGAAGCAACATAGTTGCTTCTGTCACAGCAGCCAACTTTGGTACCTGATCACCTGCATTGGGACCGTCGCTGTTAAAGAGTATAGGCCGACATCTCTTATCCTCGTTCATCAAGTTCGAGTTCTGAAAATGTGCCATAAGGGCCGCCTTTCCTTGTATCCGAGCATAAGCGAGCGACGCCACCTTCTCGCTGTTGAACTTCCCCCATTTCTTCCCATTGAATGCCTGCAATAATTTAATTTCTTCTAGCTTTTAGCGTTCCATGTTTTCTAACGTACCCCGTCGACTCGAGAATTTCGAATATCGAACCTGATAAAATGTAATGACTTGGCTAGGCTCAAGCATGTTGATGAATGCATATCCCACATTGCATTTGTTCTGCAACAAAATGTGAGTAAAATAAATATATATGTGCTTTGAACTCTATATCTGGTATTCTCCGAAGCTTGGATAAAAGGAAAACTCCTGGCAATAGGAAACTTGCCTTGAAATCAATCGGCAAATACACAAAATCATATGTTCCTCCACCGCGTTCGTCGATTGCAGCCAAAAGCATCTTTGAGGTGTACCTGCAGTTATAATCGATGATGCTGATGAAGGACCAAGTTCGTTCTTTGTCGATCAGTATCAAAGATCAAAGTCAGGAATGACATACTTGTTGGGAATGTTCTTCAACATGAGCGTCGTTCGCTTGTCTTCACCTCGTATTATATGTTCAATGTCAAGTTCGTATTGCTTCTTGTCAGCCTGATTAATATTTCCTTCATTCCTCCGGCTTCTAGCATGTTCATGAGGAGAATCAACTGATCTCGTAATCGGAATGCTCTGCCCTCTCCCATTATACATCGAGGACCTCGAGTGAAACAACCATGGCCCTACATTTTTTAAACACAATGAAAGTTTGTCCGGATTTTCGCCGACATAACAAAAGATGTAATGAGAAGTGAACTCTGTAGAATATGGAAAGTTTTCGGAACATCTCATACTGCCAAGAGAAGCCTGATGAAAACCAGCATTAGGAAATTCACCTCCATAAGCATGTCGCCGGTCCCAGAGTGACGGGTTAACAGTTGGTGCCGATCCAACATGGTAGTTAATTACGGGCACACAGGGGTTCAGCGTATGAGTCGTGGGAAGTAGGTGAAGTTGTGCTGTGGAATGAGCAGCATAAACTCCGTTAACTAAGGGAGGTGAGTTAGGCCACATCATAGTTGGAGGCTCCGGATTATAATAATTACTCCACGAATAATGATGTCCGGGAAGAAGATGTCTTCCGTTTTCAGCAGACCGAAAACCTGAGAAACTCGACACGAACCAACCAACTCAAGTAAACAGAAAACTAGGTTCATATTCAATAAGTTTTTTTTAATTGGCCATCCTTACCTGCATTACTGAATTCAAATAAGCGCCCGGTTGAACTCATTCTGGTAAGTGTCTTATTATCAATTCTTCCAAGTGGTTTGGAATTGATGTTTACCGCTCTACTTGAACCATTTTGATACTCGGGCATCGGACAAGGATAAAAGGCCAGTTCGCCTTGGACATCAAGTTTCATTCGCAAATGACCTGACTCGGTCGTGACGGATTGCTCCCCCTTGATCCCATTCTAACCATGGAGGTTAAACCATTAGAAACACCGGAAGAGACACCATGAGGAATTGTTGGTTCCGGAAAAGGGGCTTTTATGTAAGAGTTCAACCCAGAATTAGTTCCAGCTTCCATGTTATTCAACGAGTTTGGCCCGACTGCAGTCATTGAAAATCAACGGATCAGAACATAGATATGAAGTTTACTTTTGAACCGATGTTACGATAGTTCAGAACAACAATCATACCAGCCAAATTTGCATCATTCGAGGGACTATGTCGATGCTCAACAGTCGGACCATCATCTCCTAAATCCATCCCTCCAACACTGCTAAAAACATCCAACTCTTCCGCCTCCTCTGCACCATTTGGTCCGACAACAAGATCGAGTCCTTCAGTCACACATGAAAACAAGTCATCGTCGTCGGGAAGAAGGTTTCCGATGGTTTGGGCCTCGAGTTCTTCAAGAGATTCGAATGGTTCCTCGTCCTCATAGTGCGAAGAGGCAACCGTATCAATTGAATTTTCATATAGAGCATTGTCCGAAGATAATTTCACTGCAAGAAGGACGAACACAAGGCTTAATATAGACCATTCGATGCATAAAAAACAGTGAGAAGGAGAAATGCTTACACTTCCTAGCAAAGAACTCCGAAAACGAGCTGGAGAAAAGACTGTTCTCAAACTGAGAAGCCATGGTGTTGACATTGTTTCCTTCCTCTCCGATATAACTCGAATTCGTTCCCGGACCTCGGTTAATCAGTTTCGACAAGTTTACCGATTGATTCAGAACTCTCTCTGCTCCCACTATACGGCTATCTACAGATAGATTCACTTTATGGTGTTGCTTGGCAAAAGGCTCAGCATTGTCCAGGTACCTTGTTATCCGACTTTCCACCGGAATAATTTCCTTCACCGTCGATGGAGTAACCGATTTCTTGCACGCTGCCAAGAATAAAAAAGTAAACCTTCCATTCTCGATAAAGACTCAAAAAATATACTAAAGCAACAAATCTAGGGTCACAGACACAGAACAAAAATCCCAAGGCGCAACCGATTAATGAACATTCCCGGTGGGAGCAAAACAAATCGTACTTTCATCACTGATTTTCCATTCACTTTGCATGAAGCTCAATCATTCCATGCTTAGATAGATCTTTGAGGATCCAATTTAAAAAAATTCATGAAGCCTGCTCTTCCTAGATCGAAGATACTTCGAAAATTTTCGGAACTTCATACGCAAACTAATGATACATTGACTGGTTACAATCTCATGGAAGATGATTCTTTTATAAAATAGATCATTTTCCCTTGAAAAAGAACAGATCAAAACATAGTTCAATTCCCAATTGAAACTACTTTCCTGCAAAAATTTGTTGGGCCTAACAGCATTTAATTGCACTTCATATGCATGCAATGAGACATTGACTGATTACAGTTTCATGTAAAATGAAATTTTAGAAAATAAACAACTTTCCTTGACAAAGAAAAGATCAAAACATAGTTCAATTCCCAATTAAAACTAGTTTCCTGCAAGAATATATATATATATATATATATATATATATATATATATATATAATATATATATATAATACTAACTTAACATTCACTTCTGATACTAACCTCGCTGATCAAGCACGGTGTCCAGTTTCCAAAATCCAACCTGCAGCGGTCACAATCCAGAAAAATTCAAACTTGGAATAGGGAGGAATCAAATTTATTTAGAGGGAAAAGAAAAAGTGATTGGATACCGAGAAAATTCGTA